TGTGTGTGTGTGTGTGTGTGTGTGTGTGTGTGTGTGTGTGTGTGTGTGTGGAGAGGGGTTGTTGACGTTATACTCTCATTGCATAAACTACAGTTGCTTCCTATTACTTCCCAGAATCAAATACAAAATCCTTTGTAGCATTCGGAGCCCTTCATAACCTGGTCCCCATCCAACCTTTCCAGTCTTCCTATAGCTCATCTCTACATACTCTGGAAACCAGTAACACTGCCCTTTTTATGAGTTCCTCACATGAGAAACTCTGTCCTGACTCTGGTTGGCTCCATGCCTGCCATGTCCTCCCTCATCTCCACCTCCTGGCTTCTTTCAAGTCCCAGCTGAAATTTCACCTTCTGGAAGAAGCCTCTCTACTAGCTATGTGACCCTGAGCAAGTCACTCAAACCCAATTGCCTTGGTGTGGAAAAAAAGAAGCCTTTCCCAATCCTTTCCATTCTAATGCCATCTCTCTGATCATGCCCCATTTGTCCTGTATATAGTATGTTTGGACACATTGTCTTCTTCCTTATTAGACTGGGGGCTTCTTGATAGCGAGGACTGTCTTTTTCCTTCCTTTTCAACCCCACTGATTAGCTACTGTAGGGCCTCAATCAAATGCTATGGACTGACTCTAGGCCTGCCAGCAGGGACCGTTGATTCCTCTTAAAGTAGTCAGGGAAGGGGCTTGACTGGCCAGATGACCTTTGTTGGGGTATTGTTGGCCTATTAGATAAAAAGACCAGTATGTCTTCCAGCATTTCACTGGGCGTTCATGGCCACTGTAGGAGACAACCAACTCCAGTTGGGCATTATACAAAAAAGAGACAGGCCGAAGTCAGCAACTTCAATAAAATGACAGCCACCTCATCCAGGCTAGAGAGAGAACTGGACCAAACAGACCCTACCCAACCCATCCAAGAAGGCAAATGAGGACAGACCAGCTCCGGCAAAGTCTAAGAATTGAGGACGGCTATCTAGGTAAATAGAAGAAAAGACTAAATACAATGAAGAAATGAAATGGGGCAAAAAGTGCAAGAGGGTAAATAAGAGGGCAGAATAACCCCAAGAAAAAGTCAAGACTTGGGCAGAAAAGTCTTGGTCCCCAGGACTAATCTTCTCCTAACCCTAGATGTTCAGTACCAACCCCTTAGCTACCACAGAGCCTTTATGCAACCTTATTAATCATTAGAATAATCTCTTGATCTCTCTATCTCCCAAAGAAGTTTAAGTAATTCACATGTGAAAAACAGTTTGTTTGAGAGTCTTACAGGTGCCATTTTGCTGTTCTGAAAAGAGCTAGCACTTACATAGTGCTTTATGAATCTCATTTTTAGCATCACAAGAACTCTGGGAGGTAGGTGCTATTATCTCCATTTCAGTATTTATTCCTATTTTATTTTTGAAAGTTGTTTACTAAAGTATAGCAAGGACCAAAGTATACAAGCATCCCCAAGAGTCTGCGATGCTGGACCAAAAGAACAATCAGAGTCCATGCTTAGGAAAGAGGGCCCATGCTTAGACCTCACATGGCCAATGGGTCATTCAAAGCTGCTGAATGAATGGAAAATCTCTTCTCTTTTCCTGGAGTCTCCAGGAGGGTCCCCTGGGATGTAGCTCTTTGCTGGGCTTCAAGGGTTAGAGTTTTGTGTGGTTCTGAAGCTGCCTTTTCTCAGTCTGCTAGTTGTTGGCTCCCAATTCTACAGACAAAACCAAATGATCCTCCCTAAAGCCTTGAGGAGGATGGGGAGGAAAAAGGCACTGGCCCATGGATAATAAATAGATGTTTTCCATTAGAAAAAATCCCCCTTCTTCTCCTCTGACCCCTCCCCCCTCATTGAAAAGGAAATGAAAAACCAAGGCCCTGTTTTCTACCTGTATAATCATGTAAAGCTCATTTTCACATTGGCCACCTCCAAAAGGTTCATTCTAGACCAAGTCTTTCGCCTAGATCAGAAGGGGAGGCAGGGGCATGTTTGATGAGTCTTCTTGAATAGTGGTAGATCACTGCACAGATCAGAATTCCCAAGGCTTTCAAGGTAATCTTTGCAACATTGTTTCCATATAAACTGTTATTCTGGTGCTACGCATCAGTTCATACACATCTTCCCAGAATACTCTAAAACCACCCTTTCATTGCTTCTCACAGCCCAATAGCACTTCTATACATTTCTATATCATCACTGACTTCAGCATTTAACTTAAAGCCAGTCTCTGTGCCCTCCTGGAGGAGTGTCTGGGCTGAGCTTGTGTTCTCCTGGGTCGTGCTGCTGTTGTCTTGGGGATATTGAATGTTGCCTTCCTCCAGGGTCTCAATGACAGCTCAGGCTGGGGATCCGTAAGCTTTCTGTGCCACTAAAGTGGTCTGATCTATGGCAAAGTTGATTGAGGCTTCCCTTGCCCACACTGGGATCTTAGTTCTGCAGGCTCCTGATTGGGTTTTCAGCCTTCTTGGCAACGATAAATCTACTGAACTTGGTCACTGTCAGCCAGCTGGGGAGCTCTACAGGTCCCGTGTTAGTCTGTGATTCCTGCCCTAGTGATTCTTGTGCAGGCTTCAGGCTAGACTAGGAGCTGAGACTGAGCCCC